AGCTGCCACAGGCTGTGAGAGGCTGCGAGTTTGAGGCCAGCCTGGTCTGCAGGTAAAGTGCCATATCAGCCAAACAAGTTGAGGCCCTGTCTCAAAACACAGAAAAGAAAGTACTGGGGTTTCTGTTGTTGTTGTTGTTGCTGTTTTCCATCCTGGAAAAAAGTTTCAAAGACTTTGAGAGACAAATACTAACTAAAGGATCACTTTGTAGCACCTTGAACTCCAATCTGGTTAATTTCAATTTGAGTGGCAGGAGGTTGCTCCAATAACCCAGTGTGGCATTGAACAATTGTCAGGCCTTCTATTGGGTCTGTCTGAGGACCCTCAGACAGCTGCCAAAGTGTCACCAGTGAATCCTGGTAGTCATTTCACAAAACAGGTGTGACTTCCTCTGCTGGCCTGGACACAGCTTATGAAGCAGCAACCCAGAGCTGACCTGTGAGGAAATCTCTCCTGGCTCCATCTGTTTGTGTCTGGTTAACCCATGAGGGATGACACCAGCCTGCTACACTCCCTGAGAGACTGCCTGGTTGCTTTCTGCATCTAGAGCCCAGAGCTCTACAGGGCGGCCTGAGGCTTTACCTGGTGACTCCCAGATTTTCCCTGAATACCCACAGAGGAAACAGATTCAGTCTACCTTTGTTTTGCTCAGTCAGCCCCCTACGTGAACCTTCTTCCCTGTTTGCTGTGGGATAGCCATATTGGATGTTGGTAGGGTTTCTTCCATTTTAAGACAGAACGTTTGACTGCTTAGGCTTGTAGGTGGAGTTTTTCTGTTATCCCAGTCAGTTCTGTCCCACAGCCAACTCCCAAATGACCACACTGAGATTTATTATTAATTATAAATGCTCGACCGATAGCTTGGATTTGTTACTAAGGAGTTCTTACATCTTAAATTAACCCATATTTCATATCTATGCTCTGCTATGTGGCAGTACCTTTTTCCTTTTTTCTTTTTGTTTTTTTTTCCAAGACAGGGTTTCTCTGTGTAGCTTTTGAGCCTGTCCTGGAGCTAGCTCTTATATACCAGCCTGGTTTCGAACTCACAGAGATCTGCCTGCCTCTGCCTCCCAAGTGCTGGGATTAAAGACGTGCGCCTCCATTACCTGGCTGGCGGTACCTTTTCTCAGCACAGTAGGTTTCTCTCCTGCTTCCTCTGCATCTCTCTGCCTCCTCCCTTTCCCAGCATCCTCTCAGTTTTGCTCTCCTGACTAACCTCTTCCTGCCTAGCTATTAAGCCAATCAAAAGGCACCTTGGCAAAGACACAGCTTCACACTGTACAAAAAGATTATCTCATAACATAGGCTGTCAGGGAAGGAGGCAAGAAGTCTTACATATACTGAGAACCACGTTATCTCAGAGACTTCACAAGGGAAAGACTGTGTTGGCCCAGGGTTTGTTTCCCAGAAAACACTGTATGCAGACGAAAAACTAATTGAATGTCACGCATGGCTGTGCATGCCTGTAACCCCAGAAATAGGAAGAGTCAGGTGGATCCTGGGAGCTTGTTGGCTACATAGCCTAGTCTCAGGTGAGCTTTCAGTTCAGTAAGAGATCATGTCTTAAGACAGACAGTAGTGGTGCAGAGACTGGCGGATCTCTGTGAGTTCAAGGCCAGCCTGGTCTACAGAGTGAGTTCCAGGATAGGCTCCAAAGCTACACAGAGAAACCCTGTTTCAAAAACCAGAGAGAGAGAGAGAGAGAGAGAGAGAGAGAGAGAGAGAGAGAGAGAGAGCATGTCTTTTTTTTTTTTTTTTTTTTTGGTTTTTTCGAGACAGGGTTTCTTTGTGACTTTGGAGGCTGTCCTGGAACTAGCTCTTGTAGACCAGGCTGGCCTCGAACTCACAGAGATCCGCCTGCCTCTGCCTCCCGAGTGCTGGGATTAAAGGCGTGCGCCACCAACGCCCGGCCGAGAGCATGTCTTAAAAGAAATAAAGCATTAAGGGATAGAGGAATACGTCAGACACCCTCCTCTGGCTTCACATGCGTCTGCTGGGGTGCACAGACCTGCACCCCATCTCCACACACAAACCATCCAACAATTTCATATGACAATTAAATAAGTAATTCTCTTTCGGTTATCCAAACACACTTAAAAATGTTTATGTCAACTTTTATCGGATGACGATATAATCCATGCCTTTTCTACATAATATACTTATTATTTGCAGAATGTAGTTCAGATTTCTGGCCCAGGTACTCTTAGATGCGAATGGGCTTTCTCAAGCAACTGCTGTATTTATTAAGTGTTTATTCACTCCTCAAAGCAAAGATTGGGGCTTTCGGTTTTTACTTCTGGTACAGGAGTTGGAACTGGGGTCTCTTACACGCCAGGCACTAAACCAGTGTAGGTGTCTATCCTCTGGCATTTTGCAAATCACCTCACAAGGTCTCTGTCATAGTGAATATTTCAGAGCAATTGCATGGGCGACAAAAGTTGCAGTAATGTTGTCTAGGATGCCAAAACTGGAACCCTTCCCCCAAATAAGTATTTGCATGAAATTTTACAAACTGGGAAACTTTTGATTTGCAGCACACACTACGTGAAACTTTCATATGATCCCAGCAAGAAGATCAGAAGTTCAAGGTCATTGTTAGAAACTTTGAGATCAAGCTAGGCTACAGGAAATCCCATCTGAGAACAAAATTAACAAACAAACAAAAAAACCTGATGACCCGACTCTGATTCCAGAATCCACATAAAGGTGGAAGAAGAGGAAATGCATTCCACATAGTTGTGTTCTAACCTCTGTCCCACCAGCCAGCTCCCCAAATAACCACATGGAGACATAATATTAATTATAAATGCTTATAAATTATAAATTTCTCTTATTACCTCTGAGACAGTGTTTCTCTGTGTAGCCTTGGCTATCCTGGAACTCACTCTATAGACCAGGCTGGCCTCAAACCCACAGATATTGGCCTGCCTCTGCCCACCCCTCCACCCCCAGTGCTGGGATTAAAAGTATACGACACCACTACCCTAGAACCTAAAATCTTGACTGCCTGTGTATCAAATAACTTTCTTTTCTGTTGCTGTGATAAAATACCATGACCAAAAGTGACTTATAGAAGAAAAACCATGCATTTTGTTTTGTTTTTGGCTTATGGTTGCAGAGAAGTCAGAGTCCATTATGGCAAGAAGGCAGCAGAAGTAGGAAGCTAAGAAATCACATCCCCAACCATAAACATGAAGCAGAAAGAGCAAATGGAAAGTGACTTAATAAGTTTCAAGGTGAGACCAAATGTCCTGCTATGGTGCCAAAATGTCCACATGCTGTAGTTTAGGTGCTGAATATCCCCAAGAGGCCAGGGCTCAAACTTAGGCTGTGAGGCTTGGCAGCAGGCCTCTCTACCCTCTGAGCCATTTTGCAGGCTCATTTTTAGTTAAAAGGTGGTAAGTTAACTCATTATGCCCTGTGGAAGTTTTAAAGTCACCTCTGTTTGTCACTACAGTACCAGGAAATGGTTCTGTTCATTTTCTCTGAGGCATTTCAATGTCCATTACTCTATAGAGATAGTCATCACTACTTCGTGACTTTGGTATTTTGTTCATTTCATAATATTTTCCTTTCTGGAGCTGGCTGTGATGGCGCCCACCTTTAATCGAGGCACTCCCTGAGGCAGAGACAGGTGGATCTCTATGAGTTCAAGGCTAGCCAGAGCTATAGAATAAGACCTTGTCTCAAAAACAACCAAAACCAAAAGTTACATTAAACTTAAAAATGAAATAAGAAGTAAAGAAAAACAAAACATCTTTCCTTGTATATTTTGTCAACTCTTTGTTTTATAATTTTCTTATAGTCAACTAATTGTTTTATATTCCCTTGCCTGTTTTTATCTTATTTTATTGTTAATTGTGTGTGTGTGTGTGTGTGTGTGTGTGTGTGTGTGTGTGTGTACAAGTGTGTCTGGGTACCCTCAGAGGCCAGAAGAATGAGTCAGATCTCCTGGAACTGTAGTTCTAGGCAGTTGTAAGCCACCAGATATGGGAGCTGGGAACTGAACTCAGGTCCTCTGCAAGAGTTAAGAACTCAATCTTAACTCCTGGGCCACCTCTTCAGGGCTCCCCACCTTGATATATTACTAGTTAGCTGCATATACAGTATCTATCTTAATTATGTTTGTTTTCTAAGATTTAAAAATATTTTGACCCCTTAAAGTTTATGCTGTAATAGCAAATGGGATTCATAAAGACGTCAGATCAAACACATTTCTTTGCTTTGGAAGAGGGTGGTCCAGGCAGTGGTGGTGCACGCCGCTAGTCCCCGCTCGCAGGTGAACATGACTCTGAATCTCTGACTCTGATCAACACAATGATTCCCAGCACCAAAAGGAAGGCAAAGCAAAACAGAACCAACCAGCCGGAGACAGTCTCCTCTGATTTTAGTTTTTCTAATGTATTTATTCTAGGAGCTGGAGGCCAGTGGCTATACACTTGGCACAGAGTTCATGTTCAGAGAATCAGTTCTCACTTTCTACCACAGGGGACCCAGGGATAGAACTCTAGCCTTTCAGCCAACACCCTTACTCACTGAGCCATGCCACTGACCCATCAGACATCTTTAAACCTGGTATAGAGACAACTTTCCAGTGACACTTCTGTCCTGCCTCAATGCTCCCTCTCCTGAAACTAGTGACGAGGAAGTCCTGAATGCTTTACACAGCATGGCTTTTCTCAGACTGTCCCCTCAACCCCACACCCCCTCTTCCGTGCCTCAGATAATGGTTGCCAATTTGTGGCAGGCAGAACCATTCAGAGAAAAAGGCTTCCTTGTAAACAGTTACTTGAGAGGTCTTCTGTCCGTTGTTAAAACCTGTAGCCAGGCTCTTGGGTTCTGGTTTGCCACTTAATTTGCTATGGAACCATGGGCAATTAATTTAACCTCTCCTACAGGATCCTTATCTTTAAAATGAGGGTGGTGACAGCAACTCATCTCCCAGGGTTATTTTTGAGATTTACAGCTTTTAGATTATTGGCAGATACACACCACACATGTCATTTCACATGAATTTTATTTCTGTCAGCTGTCGCTTTTCGGGACACACCCACTGTTAAGCAACAAACAGCTTGGAGGGTCTGAAGTCAGGATTTAGATCTTGACTCTGAAGTTTTGAGGCAATGCATTCCACCGTAAGACATTGTTACTTCACCCGTCAAAATGCTATTCATGTTCTTCAGAAGGACTCAAGTCGATTGTCTCTTCCTTGCTGGGCTGGATGTGCAGGCCTGTCATCCCCGCTACAAGGTAGAGAGATGCAAATTCAAAACCTACAGAGTGAGTTCAGTATGGGTGATTTAGTAAGACGCTATTTCTAAATTAAAAGTAAAGGCTGGAGCCAGGGATGGGGGGGGGAGTGTGACGGGGTGACGCACGCCTTTGATCCCAGCACTCGGGAGGCAGAGGCAGGCGGATCTCTGTGAGTTCGAGGCCAGCCTGGTCTACTGAGTAACTTCCAGGACAGGCTCCAAAGCAGTACAGAGAAACCCTGTCTTGAAAAAATAAACAAACAAAAGAGAAAGGAGAGAGAGAGAGAGAGAGAGAGAGAGAGAGAGAGAGAGAGAGAGAGAGAGACCCTGCCTCAAAAATCTGGAGGTATAGCTCGGTTGTAGAGCCTTGCTTAGTATGTACTAGGTTCTGGCTTCGACCCTTAATGCCATTTTTAAAGGTTGGGGAAGGATCCCTTCTCTACCATCTTCCCTATCCTTGTATGACTTTAGTTGACTTTCAGTGCATTTAATTGATTATAAGAGACATCATTAGACCTGGGGAGATGACTCAGTCGGTAAAGTGCTTGCTGAGCAAGCAGGAGGTCCCCAGCACCCACAGGAAAAGCTAGACTCCCATTGGGAAAATCGAGACAGGCAGATCCTTGGAACTCACTGGCCAGTCATCTCTCAGTCTTGCCTAATCCGTGAGATACAAGTCCAGTGAGAGACCCCAGAAATAAAGTGAAGAGCAACTTAGAAGTCTCTCTCTCTCTCTCTCTCTCTCTCTCTCTCTCTCTCTCTCTCTCCCTCCCTCCCTCCGTCTCTGTATCTATCTATCTCTATCTCTATCTCTGTCTCTGTCTCTGTCTCTGTCTCTGTCTCTGTCTCTGTCTCTATCTCTATCTCTATCTTTGTCTCTCAACAGAAGACCAGAGTTCAGCTCCTAGAATGCACATCATGAGAGAGGAGTGAGGCTTACAACCTGTAACTGGGCTCTGGGGTACCTGATGCCCTCTTCTGGCCTCTTCGGGTACCCGCACACAAATGACGTACACTCAAGCAGACATATATGCACATAAGTAAAATAAATAAATATTTTTAAACCTCAAATAATATGGAAAAGTTGCTTCTAGAATCTACCCTGTTGATCTGTTTGTTTGTTTTTCAAGACAGGGTTTCTCTATTAAACAGTTCTGGCTGTCCTGGAACTCACGCTGTAGACCAGGCTGACTTTGAACTCACAGAGATTCATCTCCCTCTGCCTCCCAATATCTTTAACATTGCATCCTTTTTTTTTCAGTCTTAGAAGAAGATAAAAGTACTACAGAGAGCTGGTGAGATGGGTGAGCAGGCAAAGTCTGATGACTCGAGTTTGATCCTCAGCACCCACAGGATGGGCAGAAAGAACCGATTCCCTTAAGCTCTCCTCTGAACTCTACATGCACACACACACACACACGACATAAATATAAGTAAATAACTGTAAATTAAACATTTTATGTATGAAGAATACACCACAGAGTGCTATAGAGTTCTGTTATTGAGGGGTTTTAATTTTTTTTCTGTTTATAAAATATAGGGTCCTGCCGGGTATTGGTGGCGCACACCTTTAATCCCAGCACTCAGGAGGCAGAGGCAGGCAGATCTCTATGAATTCCAGACCAGTCTGGTCTACAGAGTGAGTTCCAGGACAGCCTCCAAAACAATACAGAGAAACCCTGTCTCGAAAAAAAACAAAACAAAAAAAAAGGTTGCCACTGTTGTCCAGGCTGGACCTGGACTCTTAAATATTTTTAAATTAGTGCGTGTGTGCGTGCATGCATGTGTGCATGTGTTGCATGAGCATACAAGCATCCACAAGAGAATGAGCGCCTCCCTCTGACTGGCTAAGGGACAGATATTTGCCAGTGTACCACCCTGAGGTTGCCATCTGTTTCCTGTTTTAAAGTTTGCTTTCATTGAACATGGTGGTGCATGCCCGTAATTCTATCAGTTCCAGAAGCTGAGGCAGTTAGACTGCAAATTCATGGCCAGCCTGGAAAGTTCAAATCCTCATTGTATAAAACTTAACTTTAAAAATTACCATAACTTGGGGCTGATGGGATGGAGGGCTCAGGGGGTAAAGGCTTTGAAAGCCTAACAACCCAAGTTCTATCTCCAGAACCCACAGAGGGAAAATCAATTACCAAAAGTGGTCCTCTGACCTCTACACCCCTGCCAAGGCATGTGTGAGTGCACACACACTAGAAAAAAAAACAAAACAATTTTAAATTAACATAACTTAGGTAACTTCTTAAATTTCCAGTTACCAAATGTGTCAAGTAAAATTCTTCAGGGTGACCATAAAGTTTCCCCACAGTCTCTCCACCCTTCCCATCAAGTTTGTTGTTGTTCCTCCTGCCACTGCCCTAGGGATGAACCTAGGGCTTTGATGTACATGCCAGGCAAGCCCTTGACAGGTGCTGTGTAGCATTCACGCTCCCTTCCATTTTTTCTTTTTTCTTTTTTTAGATCTTTGCTGTGGAGTTCTGCCTGGTATGGTACTTGATATGTATGCCCTCCAGACTGGCCTCAAACTCACACCAATCCTCCTGTCTCAGCCTCCTGCGTGCTGGGATTACAAGCGTAAGACATTATGTCCAACTTTTCCATGTAATCTTTTATTTGTTTCTATCTGCAATCTTGGTCCCAGTTAACTGTTTCAGGCATGGAGAGATGGCTCAGTGAGTAAGAGCACTGGCTGCCCTTTCAGAGGATTGGGGTTTAATTCCTAGCACCTGCATGGCTGCTCACAGCCATCTGTAACTTTAGTCCGAGGGGAATCCAGTGCCCTCTTCTGGCCTTCTTGGGTACTGCAGACATGTAGTGCACAGACATGTACAGACACACAAAACTCATACAATAAAGAAAATGTTAAGAACTTTTCACTTCATCTTCCATAATAAAAGCCTGCTAGGGGATGGTACAGACAGGTACTTAGTGAAGGTTGTCTTCTGAGGACATGTTAAGAAGCACAAGTGATAAAAGCAGTCATTGGGGCCAGGCGTTGGTGGCTCACGCCTTTAATCCCTGCGCTCCGGAGGCAGAGGCAAGCAGACCTCTGTGAGTTAGAGCTTGCTCTACAGAGTGAGTTTCAGGACAGGCTCCAAAGCTACAGAGAAACCCTGTCTCAAACCCCTACCCCCAAAAAAGCAGTCATTGGTGAACTGAAGGCTTGATAAGCCAGGCAGAAAGCGTTACAGATGGCAGATGGTCCATGATTGTGAAATGTGTACAAGAGGCAAAACCATAGAGACAGAAAGTAGACTGGTAGTTGCTAGGGGCTTGAAGGAGAGACTAATGAGAACTGACAGCTCATGGATGTCAGATTTGCTTGGGGATGGCTCGAGTAGTCTGGAGTTAGGGTCAGCAAGATGGCTGAGCAGCTAAAGGATGCTAACACCACACTTGACAACCTGAATTTGAGCCCAGGACATCCACATGACAGTTCACAACCATCTGCAGTCACAATGACTCCAATGCCATCTTCTGGCTTCTTTTGGGCACCTGGTACAAATGAGGCGCACAGACACACGCAAGCACAAAATCCTCATGTGCATCAAGAAGTTTCACAAACAGATCCCAGAGAAGGGGCTCTGGGAGAGGAGGCAGGCTGGTCAAGTTAAAGAGGAGAGAGAAGAGTCTTCAGCAGGCAAAGACCCCCGCCACAGTGATGGAGCTCACATTGCAGAGTGGTGCGATCTACAGGCAAATGCAGAGCTAGGGGCTCAGGGGTTCAGCAGAGCCTTTGTGAGGTGCTAGTCCAGCATTCTTCCTGATTGAGGTTTACCAATGAGGCAGGCTGAGACTGAGTTTAACTCTGTCATCTCCTGACAGCTCCTCAGAGATTTTCCAGCTAGAAGCATTTAAGGAGGACAAAACAGTCTCCATCATATCCCAGATCAACAGACTCTGTTTCAGGTGGTCGATACAAGCTCAACAGGGCCAGGTCAGGGTTTTTAAGCACCTGCTTAGCATACACAAACACAGAGAGAGAGAGAGAGAGAGAGAGAGACAGACAGACAGACAGACAGACAGACAGAGACAGAGATAGAGACAGAGACAGAGAGAGACAGAGAGAGAGACAGAGAGAGACAGAGAGAGACAGAGAGAGAGAGAGACAGACAGAGAGAGACAGAGAGAGACAGAGAGAGAGAGCGAGGAAGGAAAAAACTGTCTGGACTCCACAACCAGCTCTATTGGTTTGAGGCATAACTCTGCTGTTTATCAGATGAGCCCTCAATTCTTCCATTTGTAAAGTGGGTGGTCTAACGACGCCCCAATTCCACGGGTATTGAGAGAATGAAGTGTGCTGACTGGGTGCAAAGCCCCCAGCACAGGCTGTGATGAGCCTGACAATATAAAATCAGATTGTGCCATTCGCTTAGTCACAGGGCTCTTCCTCTAAGTCTCCTGCAGCAGCTGGCAGGTGGCTAACACACTTCTGAATTAGGCAAGATGATATTTATGGACTTGGTGTAGTTCTGCCACAGCCAGTTCCTCTCTGGCTTCCTTGTAAGGCATTCTGCACTTTAAAATAAATGTTATACACTTTTGCAATTTTCAAGCAATATAAAATCAGAGAAATGATCCCAGTGCCTCCCTTCCCTGGGGCTCATCACTCTGCTTCAATAATTGTCAGTTTGAAGCCGATGGGACTCCATCATGTGGTACCTGTTTTGTGTCCCCCACCTTAACTAGGTTATTTTGAAAAGAACTCAGATTTCATTTCATCTAAGATATTCCAGCTTGTATCTTTAATTTATCAAAAACCGTGTAGGCCTAGTAGGGTGGAACGTGCTAGTAATCTTCCTGATGGCAGGAAGATCAGTAGTTCAAGGCTTTCCTCTGTTGTATAATGAGTTCCAGGCCACCCTGGGCTACATTCTGTCCTTTGAAACACAAAACAAAACCACTTGTATGTGTATGTATTATTGGCGATCCAATGCAGTGTAATAGGCCCCTACTACTGATCTGCCAACCCTAACTAACCTCATAAGGTATTTCTTTAGTTTATTTTTTAGATGTCTTTATTTTATATGTAGAGTGTTCGATCTGACCGTATGTATGTACACCACATTTATGTCTGGTGCCCTCAGAGATCAGAAGAGGGTGTTGGATGCCCTAGAACTCGAGTTACAGATGGTTGTGAGCTGCCATATGGGTGCTGAATCAAACCTGAGTCCTTTGGAAGAGCAGCCAGTGCTCTAAACAGCTGAGCCATCTCTCCAGCCCCACGAATACTTTTTAATACTATCATATCATATTAACATCTATAAAATTGGACTGTGGTTATTGTTTAATATCATTAACAAGCTAGCAGTTGTCAAATGTCCTTGATTTTTCTCATGCTAGTTTTTTATTACATTTATTTATTGCGCATGTGTGGGCATGCATATGCCGTGGTGTATTTACTCATGTGGGGGTCAGAAGACAGCTTTTGGGGGTTGGTTTTCTCCTTTTACCATGGGATCCGGGAATGGAACTCAGATTGTCAGGTTTGTGCAGTAATTGCTTCTATTCTCTGAGCCATCTTGTTGGACCATGCAGAGTATGTATATGTGTGTGTATGTGTGTGTGTGTGTGTGTGTGTGTGTGTGTGTGTGTTAATCAAAATTCAGTGGGTTGGGGCCCAGCTCAGAGGTACAGCCAGCACTGATTTAACTTGTGAGGTCCTAGCACCACAAAAATAAACCACACGGGGTGGGGGAGGAGGGCCTTGGTCCCGCCTCAACAAGATGATGGGACAGACTAAGTAGACTTCCTGGGGAACAGATGGGAAGTGAAAGGGGGAAATGGGAGGAGCAGGAGGAGAGGAGGGAAGAGGAAATGGGATTGGGATGTAAAAAATAGATTAAAATAAATAAATAAACAAACAGATCCATAATTAATAAAACGTAAAAGCAAGATCATTCATGTGATGTCTCTCTGGTGTCTTGTACTATAGATTCATGTCTTTTTCCTCTTTGACCTTTATTGCTGAAGAACCCAAGTAGTCTTTGTTTTGTTTTTTTTCTATCAAATCTGCCACATCTTATATTTTGCTGAGCCCTGGAATACTGTATTGTCAAGACTTCCGAGGCTGTATCTGAAGGTCCCAGTAGTTATGGTTGAAGGGAGAACACCCTGAACTTCAAATAAATGAATAAAACAGTTGCAGTGTATTGAGACACATCGAGTGTGGTGATTCTTTCTCATAAGCCTTCAGAAATAAATACCTTGGTCATCTCTAGAGAATGCTGAGGACACAACTCTCCATTCTAAAACTAAAGAACCGAGTATCTATTCAGTGTGTCCTGGATGCCCTGTAACTCAGGGTAACCAAATAACCAATCAGGAAAGATCCTGCTCATTAAAGACGAGGAACTGATAAAACTAGTGTTGCCATTCAACGTCTAACAAAATAAAATCCCTAACATGATTGTCAATGACTGCCGAGAAGCAGACAGACAGCCTCATAGCTAACTATACAGGTGGACAGCACCCGAACCCACTGATCATCTTGGCATCATGGGAGGAACCATAACACCACTTCCTTTTCTGCGATAGGTAGTCTGCAGCCTGTGAAGTGACTGAACCACTAAATCAGAATCTGAAGCCGTGAGATGGCTCAGCCGGGAAAGACGCCTGCCACCAAGTGAGACGGACCTGAGTTCAATTCCTGAGACCCAAGTGATGGAAGGCGTGAACAGGGGTCTGCATGTCGTGCTCTGACTTCCACACGTGCATCCGAACCCCATAAGAAAACGTAACAAAAACTTTAAATCTAGTCTGGCATTGGTGGCGCACGCCTTTAATGCCAGCACTCGGGAGGCAGAGGCAGGTGGATCTCTGTGAGTTTGAGAACAGCCTGGTCTATAGAGCAAATTCCAGGACAGGCTCCAAAACAATACAGAGAAACCCTGTCTCGAAAAACCAAAAACCAAAACAAAACAAAAAACAAAACTTTAAATCTAAACTCAGAATCTAAGTTTCCATGTATAAGTACCAGCTTCAAAGTAGTTTGTACTTCTCCCTAAGATGATTAAATAAAAGGCCCTTAAAAACCAGTGGGCATTTGTCAAACCAGGCACTTCTTAATGGTGGGGATAGCACTCAATCCCTTTAAGTAAAAGCAAGCCTTCACTCTCACTGTGCTAAGTAGTGGAGGAGGGGTGAGAAGCTCTCTGTGTGGAAGCAGCAGCGACTGCAGCAGCGCAGAGTGGGTTGTGGACCTTGGGACATGCCTGTGTTATCTCCCCCTCTGGACCTTTCCATCCTGTCCTTCCGGGTACAGGGCACTGAGCCCCAGGTATAGCATGCTTAGACAAGCTCCATCATTAGCCACACACGCACACCCCACCAACCCTGTCTTAAGTGTTCTTTTGCCTCGCTCACAGTTCCTGATATTTTTCTTTTCCTTCGTTCATCCATCCACCTTGCTGCTGGGGATGCCTCAGCCCCGGATGGGTGTAGCTCTTTTTCTATCCTCATCTGGAAGGTGAACCTGTCTTCCGCACATGACCTGGCTTTCCAAGGCGGCAAGCATCTGTCCCGGAAGCAGGCGTCACGAGTCCCTTCCGTGAGGCAAGCAGGGTGGAGGAGGCTGTGCCAGGCCCCCGCACGCACGTGACACTGTGTGGACGCGCGCCCGCCCGGAGCAGCAGCACGCTGGGCCCGACACAGTTGTCAAGTGGGCTGGTGCCTGGCCCCGCCTGCCGCCCTGGGCTTGCCGTTCCCAGGAAGTGCAAGGCGCGCACCCCAGCCTCACGATTCCCTGGGGCCCATGCATATTTATAGTCCTATCCCTGGACGCCTAGGCCTCCTAGGCTTGCTCCTGTCTTCCCTCAGGATCCAGTTCCGTGTCCCCATAAAAGGCCACACAGATACGCACAGCACTTTAACAGATATTGCATGCACTCCTAAATGCCCATCTCAGAGATTGCACACCGATCCAAAGGACCTAACATACTGAATATTTTGGAGTCACTCAGTATTGATGCTCCACTTAAGAACATTAATGCACATGCGCGCGCGCGCACACACATACACACACACACACACACGCACAGGGGAAGGAGGAGTGTGTATGCCACAGCACCAGTATAGAGGTCAGAGAAAAACATTTTAAGTTTATTCTCTCCTACTATGTAGGTCTCAAGGATTGAACCCAGGTCATCAGGCTTGGCCACAAGCATGCTTTGCCCTATTAGCCACCTCACCAGCCCGGAGAAAATGTCAAAGTATGGTGGATTCTTTCATTTTCTTGTTTTGTTTTCCAATGCACGAGGAGAGTAACCAAATGGTGCTTTAAAAATGATTTTGGAGGGCCGGGCGTTGGTGGCGCACGCCTTTAATCTCAGCACTCGGGAGGCAGAGGCAGGCGGATCTCTGTGAGTTCGAGGCCAGCCTGGTCTACAGAGTGAGTTCCAGGACAGCCTCCAAAGCCACAGAGAAACCCTGTCTCGAAAAACCAAAAAAAAAAAAAAAAATGATTTTGGAGGAAAAAAAAACAATTTCTAACACAGTCTGACAAATTGCTAGGAAAAGATACATGTAGCGGTATTCTGGCCTCTGCCATTCTTATGGAAATATAGAAATCACTGTTCCCTCTGAGTGGTCAGATGGCCACAGTGTCCCCTGGATTAGCTCTTTTCTGTTTTCTTTTTTAGGGAGGCGGAGTGGGAGACCCTGGGAGCAGTCTCAGGTTTCTCAGCAATATGAGATAAATCCAAAGGGGCTCTTGGTTGTGCAGAATGAAAGGTGACAGATCAGTCTCCCGCTTTACCTTCAGCTTGGAGGAGAATAATTATTCGAGACCTGACATCTAATACCGACCAGTGGTCACTGATACTGCAAGTGAGAGCTTCACCGACAAAGCACAAACAGCACTGTCTAATTTTAAGTCCCAAGTGAGGGGCGGAGTTAGGAAGTATGGATAAATAAACGACCCCAATGTTGAATCAATAAATCTTTTGAACATAGGGGTGCTCAAGGGTATGGGGGGGGGGTGACAGACTCCCAGACCAGCAAAGCAAAGAGAACCATCTGTATCCAGTAAGCATGAGCTCACCAGGGCACGGGACATTCAAATACAAGAGTCTAGCCATGAACAATGGTCCTTACATTACTTTCCCCAAGCCTGTGGAACCTAACCTCCTGAGAATGGTTTCTATGTTGCAATCTCTAAGGATGGAACAGACTGGATGAAGTGAAAAGACAGAATTCCTTGTTATATTGCATTGGCAATTGTTTCTCTCCCCAACTGTCTTACCCCTACAGCTCTCTTTTAGAAGATAACCTGTGCTTGCTGCTCTGTTAGTGGTGCTTATAACCAAGATATTATTAATTACTTAAAATGCCCATTAACTTGTTTTTTAAAAATTGTTTTGACACAGGAGGGTGGTTGCACATTCCTTTAATCCCAGCACTCGGGAGACAGAGGCAAGTGGATATCTATGAGTTCGAGGCCAGCCTGGTCTACAGAGCATGTTCCAGGACAGTCAAGGCTGCACAGAGAAACTCTGTCTCCAAACAAACAAGCAAAGAAAGAAAGCTTGTTTTGATAGCCATAGGGGGATATTACTCAGGCTCTGGTTCAAACCAATACAATGATTCTTGAAATTTCACATTTTATTTTACAAGTAGCTGTTCCTAACAACCCCCCCCCAAAAGTATAGGGTTGGAGCCATGGTGAGCTGTACAAGCCTGGGTACTGAGTTCAGCTCTCCAGTACTCGTGGTAAAGCAAGGCCTGGCGGTATGTGTCTGTAGCCATGCTAGGGAGTAGGCTCCTTGGGGCTGCCCAGCCAGCCAGCCTAGCTACCAGTGGAGCTGCATGTGCTTTTGCTCACCTTTAATCCCAGCACTCAGGAGGCAGGGGCAGAGGCAGATCTCTGGTTCAAGACCAGCCTGGTCTACATAGTGAGTTCCAAGCCAGTCAGAACTACACATGAGAACCTGTTCAAAGAAAGAAAGGTAGAGAAGCCAGAGGAAGACACCTAACCTCTACAAGCACACACACAGACGAGCACAACCCCACACATACACTCCTACACTTAAAACAACTGAAGTGAAGTCATCAGAATCATTATCCATTAAATACTGTCCCTATCTGGACAGTGTGTTGGATACCACGCCCACTTCACTTTCTCTGGTGTGCTGTGGGGGCTGAGAGCTTGTCAAGGTCATGGTCACTCCTTCTTCTGGCTCCAGTGTCCTGATACACTGTTACAGTTACAAGAAGGGTTTGCTGAGCGGACCAGTGTCTTATGAGTCAACTTCATCCGTTTCTCGTTAGACACAAACAGCAAGGTGAGAAATTACAGAGCAACACTAGGAAAACAGCGTTAAGATCCCAGCTCTGTGGTGGAGGTGGGAGGAGGGGCCTGCTAAGAAAAAGAAAAGTTGCCCTACTTCCTTAAAAAGCAGTGGTAAGATAGGCATGGGATGTAAGTCTGTAAACCCTGTCCTTGGGTGGCAGAGGCAGGAGGGTCAAAGGTTCAAGGTCAGCTTTAGCTACCTAGTGAGTTTCTAGTCAGCCTGAATGCATGAGACGTTGTCCGCAAAACAAATAACGGAGAACTAATGCCTAAGATGGAGACATACTGGGCTTCACTAAACACATGTCTCATCCTTACTCACGATGAGCCAGGTACCTTTCCTTCCATCTTCTTTTCCTTTCCCCATCCCGGCCTGCCACCCCTGTGGATCTCACAGCCTCGTGCGCAGTTGGTAAACTCCATCTTTGGGCTGTATTCCCCAGTGCAGGGAGCTAATTTATCATTCTCAAGTTCAAAAACAAAGCCTCTATAGTCCTGCATGCTTTCGATCCCTAGCTGAAGGGCGTGGGGGCAGGAGGATCAGTAGTTCAAGGTCATCCTCAGTGACACCTGCCCTGTCTACACACACACACACACACACACACACACACACACACACACACACACACATGCAAAACAGGCTGCACCTGGTGGTACAGGCCTATAATCAACTACTTGGGAGATTGAAGCAACAGGATGGGAGGTTTCAAGGCCAGGCTAGGCAGTTTAGATCTTGTCTTAAATTAAAAAGCATAACCAGGGTTGGAGACATAACCTAGTGATAGAGTGTTAGCCTGACATGTTTGAAGTTGTGTGTTTGATCCCTGGAATCACAAAAAAGAAAGAAAGAAAGAAAGAAAGAAAGAAAGAAAGAAGGAAGGAAGGAAGGAAGGAAGGAAGGAAGGAAGGAAGGAAGGAAGGGAAGAACGAAAAGGGATCTATCTATAATAATTTTGATTTATTTCCCTTAAAATAATTTGTTTCTGCCAGGCATGTTGGTTTGCATCTATAATTTCAGCACCAGGGAAACTGAAGCAGGAGGATGAAGCAACTTGATGTTGCATGCCTTTAGTCACAGCACCCATGTGGATCCTGAGTTCGAGGCTAACCTGGTCTACAGAGTGAGTCCCAGGACAGCTAGGGCTACATAATCCTACCATCTCTAATAATCTCCGATAATAATACTGCCCTGAGCACTAGCACACATCCATGCTGCCCTGAGCACTAGTGCACATCCATGCTAGGTTCTTTCACATGCAAAAATGCCAACTTTTAAAGCTGGAAGAAGTCAGAAGAAATCAACACCCTCAATTTACCAAGAAAAGAATGGAGACCCAGAGTACCCCAACATGATGTTCCCAAATAAACAGGGTTCCCGCCCAAAACCCCAACAATTCCCTTAGTCATGGATCTCATTTGCTAGGCCTCCTTTCATTGGGGTCAAAGCTTATATTAATTACTAATTAATTCTATAATCTGGCTGTTTTGCTTGTTTTTCCTTGTCTAAAATTTTTCAAATATAAGCTTTAGAGATTTCTAGTTAATAGTGGTAACAAACAGGTAGGGCATACCCTTATTTTGTAGAAATGTTATATTTTATAAGGGAAACCATGCAGCAGAGGGTTTCTCTTCCTCTCACCTCCTTTCCTTTTCCTTTTTTGAGACAGTCTTGTTATGAAGCCCACACTAGTGGGCTTTTAATTCATGATGTGGTCCAGGCTGATCGTGAACTAGGGATTCTTAGGCCTTAGACTCTCTATTTTTGGGATAACAGACAGGTCCCATCAGACCTGATTGAGGTTCTGAAGTCTCTCCCCCTCCCCCTGCCGGATCACTTGGGACTCTGGGAATACCTGCAGTGAATTCTCTTGATTGAGCTGATAGAAGACCCACATTCCCTGTGACCAGCTGCTTCGAGCTCCCACTGCCTCCGCATCCCCACCAGGATGGGCTACATCTTGAACTGTAATCCAGATGAAACCCTTCCCTCCTGTCTTAGTGAGGGTTTGCTATTGCTGTGAGGAGACACCATGACCACGGCAAGTCTTCTAAAGGAAGCATTTAATTGAGGGGGCTCACTTACAGTTTCAGAGGTCCAGTCCATCATGGCAGAGAACGTGGCAGTATGCAGACAGGCATGTTGCTGAAGAAATAGAAATCTTGCAGGCAACAGGAAGTCGACTGATACATTGGGCGGTGTACTGAACATAGGAAACCTCAAAGCCTGCCCCTACAGTGGCACACTTCCTTCAACAAAGTCATACCCTCTCCAACAAAGCCACATCTCCTAATAGTGCCACTTCCTATGAGATTATGGGACTATGGGGGTCAATTACATTCAAACTAC